AGAAGCTCACAAGAATGGCGCATGGCTATAAATGCAAAGGGAACTTCTATTGCTTTTTCCTCTGCCTTTGATGGTGAAAAAGCAGGAGGCTGACTTCTTACTTCAGGCAATGGTGGTTCCGTCACATCTGAGTCACCTAGTAATGGATATGGAGCTTCAGCTGGTGGAAGAAGCAATGGATTCCCGAAAGTTCTGAGCTCACCGGTTTCAGGCAGAACAAATTTGCCGTAACACTGGTTCTCTGCAATCAAATATTATCTCAGATTGGCGCAAGGAAAGTTAAAGAAGCAATAGAGAGAAGATGAGACTATATTTTTACTTCTGTATCTTGCAGTGGTTGCTGGGAAGTCAGTGATGATGCCATCAATTTGGATATCGCGGACAAAAGAGTCTATCTCCAACGTTGGATCCTCGTAAAAGTCAAATGCTTGAGTTACAAACTCGTTGCTAAATCTTTCTACGTAAACACGAAGCCCGCTTGATTTTAGCTTTGAAACAACATTTGTCCCCTGCGTAAGGGTGATAAACCCTACGTAGGGAAAGACTGATTTCTTACTGATGACAATCGAGCCTGCGAAATTCTTGATGTCTTTGATCGCCGAATCTGCTACATCACCGATGTTTTCCTCGACTCTATAGACTAGCTCGTCATGATTCATTTTGTTCTTCTCCTTGAACTTCATCAAGACAGACTTATCAGTAGACTGGATCAGTATTGTTCTTGCACTTGTCTTGTTTTGCTGATTAGTAGCTCTCTTCAATTCATCTAGTACCGCATCGACCACGCTTATTCCTTGATGTTCCACTAAATAAGCTGCATTCTAAGAAACGGAAAATGCTATATCAAGAAAAGAGTCATGTGTTGTTCTTATTTACACACAAGCTTTGCAGCAGAACTCCCACCTCCACTTCTATCAAGATGCCTAAGAGAGAGCTGTAATGGTTTGGAAGAAACAAGAACTCGGATAATGTAAGAAACTTTCCAGCCTTCTTGTTTCTTGGGTTTCTGAATAAACCAGAGTCCCTTTCAAGATTCGAAATAGTGGCTGCAATAAAGGGTGAACAAAGCCAATTCAGATATAATCTTCATTCAAAGTCTTTATACTGAATCTTGATTTTACTTTGTAGTTTTGGCTCTTACGCTTCAAGGTTTGTATCTGAGACATGGTCAGGCTGAAAGTGTAGATCCCACTTCTCTGTGGTTGAATCTCTGAAGCTACTGATGACAGATTTCTAAAGCTTGTTTCGATGACATTAGTGCTGTTTATAAGATCAATGGAGCTCATACAAAAGGGAATCTTGTCTTTAGACATCTGGACATTGCAATCAAGAATGTCAGCCCCGTCGGTTGCAGCTCTCTGATACGCCAAGTCAGTACAGCCCGGGAAATCTCCACTCGCTCCATTCTTCGAGATAATAGTTATCTTAGCTGCAAGGCATAACGGTTAAAGTGCAACTAAACGATTTAAAAATCATGTGTATATAGTTTTCTCTTGTGCATTACCTTGCTCCTTAGCTTTCTTGGTGTCCAAATGAGAGAAACAATCTTGGAAAGCAAACAATAATCATAAATGGAGTTATATGCTATGCAAAGATCGAGGAAGAGACAGAAAAACTGAGTTCTTTTTACTTACTGATGGCTCGATATGGAGTCACCGGAAAGTCTGATAGGAAACCATCAACCGAGAAGTTTCCGTTGTCAATGAAAGATAAATACTCAGCCGTTGGATCATAGCTGTAGTTATAAGCAATTACAAAATCATTGGCAAACTCCGAGGCGAAAACTTGTAAACCTTCTTTATGAGCATCTGTTACAAGCGACGTGTGGGGTTGTAGGTAAAGAGCTGAATCAACGGGCCATATGTAAGATTTTGGAACAAGAATTCCAGAAGAAAAGGTTCTTATATAACTTAAATTCTTGGCAAGAGAGCCGTAAGATTGGTTGGTGAAGGGTTCTATGTCGTCTTGTTTTAGAAACTTAAAGATGAGTTTTGTCACAGTCGGCTTGACACTGTTTTTCATGCTCTTCAGGAAACTGATCTCTGGAGAAGATATGAAGTTAACTATCAGGCGTCTTGATAGAGAGATAACAGAGTTTCTCATACTCAAATTGTGTTGCGTGTAGAAAGCACTGTCCTATAAGTGTAGAGACGACAAGTAGAGGAAGAAAATTACTTATTGATCTTATGGAAAAGACTTTGAGCGATAATAGAGTATATACATTATACCTGAATGTTCAACCAGAGGCCTGAAGCTGTCAACTTTGCTACTTCTTCAATAGGCAATATCGAGGAAACATCATCGAATATTTCTGGTCTTGAGATAACACCCTGGGCCACTGTTGAGGGGAAAAACTTGAGTTACAGTCAGAAATGTTGAAATGAAACATTTGCAGAGTTGCTATTCCACAAGATTGAACATTTTAATTCAGAAAGCTTCACTTACTAGAAGAGGGTTTAAAGAAACGAGATATAGTTAGAAGCACTTACATTTCACATCAGAGAGTTCCTTCCATGTGAAATCAACAGAAAACCTTTCTTTGTAATTTGGGTAAATGCTTATGACATTAGAACCATTGTGAAGATTCAGATTTGGAAAGCAGATTCCAACACCATCCTTTGTTAGTTGAAGATCACACCAGAGCATTACTTCTGGTGAAGTTGTTATATTCACCAACTGATATGCTTGAATACTGGAATCTGGAAACATACCAGAGAATCCGCCTCGAGCAATCACAGCCGGAGGTTTCCCTGCCAAAAACACATCAAGAAACTGTAAGAACATTTATGAAAAAGTCAAGTACAGAAAAAGTGAGAGAACTCTGTCTCTAACCACTTAATGTTTTCCAAGAACTTGATAAAGCAGTCTGTAGTATGAAGAACTTGATCAGAATCAGAAAAATCACTCTAGGGCACGCCATGGTAGTGGAGAGCTTTCAGTGTTTCTTCTTACTTTTTTTTTTTTTTTTGCTGAAGATGGAGTGAAGAATAAGTGAATTATTGAACTCATGAGCTGTTTAGCAATAATCTACACAATCTACCACGTCCTAAGAATGGAAAATTTAGCTTAAAACGTAATCAGACTCTGCAGTAGCATTAATTGCAGTTTTTCTATATTTGTGAGAAGAACGTTGCTATATTGGAAATGGGGTCAAAAAGAAGTTATCTTAGCTGTCACCTGGTTAAAGTAAAGAATACTAGCATGACAAGTTTTTCCAAAGAGCACATTGGTTCTCCATAACATTTCTAGCATGAGAAAAGCACATTTTCTAAAACTATGTGTCACCTCCATTGATGGACCTTTAGCTTAAGTTTCCTTTTTCATCAGGGCACAACCCTTTCTCCAACTTCTGCAAAAGAATCATCGCACAGAGTCTTAAGCTTGGCTCTGGTTTCCATATTCTCGCAAAAGAGTCTTGCATGCCTTCGTCACTGCAGTCATGAATCAATATATATACTTTAAGGAGAGATCAAACACAGTTCAAGATTTTTTGTTTTGATGACACCAAGGTACAAAGAAGTTTTGAGGATCAACTTCTATTTTGTTTTACGATGTTCTCATTCTCAGATCCCAAGTGTGTATCAAAACGTCAGATATCTCATATATAGTATGGCTCAAAACAGTTTGTGGTTACAAAAACACGATGACAAGACACTAATCTCAGAAACACACAAGACCATATGCAGTTCTTTGACTAATACAAGCTATTAAGGCATTATGACAGCAGCATTGTCTACACCAAAGAGATTTTTAATCGACAAATTCAACAACAGAGAGTATCATCTGCATCCACGAAAAACCAGAGTTGCATAACCATCATTCAGCTTTTGATGGGAATTTATTGCCACCAGTAGCGATCTTGTATACGTAAAAACAGGTCATGAGAGCACTGCAATACAGATATGGTTCTTAGGTTAAGTGAATGGTGTAAAAAAGCTCAAAATACCAAATCTTGGACCGAAACAAAGATAGATAGCCTAGCCAGTGGTTCATAGAAGGAAAGGAGAAAAGAGGAAACTTTTACCTGATCCCAGCAACCAAACCAGCCGGCATAATCTTTCCAGTCAGCAAGTAACGCTGTCCCATGACTAGTGTGAGAGCAGCTGCGATGACTGTATCGAAAAATAAACTTTCAGATGAGTTTCAGTCACCAGAGATAATGAAAATCGATTTTGCAAGCTTGTTTTGTCTTTGAGGTTGGTTCTATTGTCAATCAATGGCAAGAACACTAATTAAAATCAGGAATCAACTCAACTACAACATCTTACAACTCAAATAAGACACCACCCTTCAATTATCAACCTTGTTTATTGACACGATTTTTGACTCGATAAAACAGACTCAACGACTAAAAGAATGACATCAAAATGACTCAAAGAAAACACCAAAAAAAAAAAAAATGCAACACTGATCAGTAATCACCCTCCCCAGACTTACTTACACTGGCCCGGTGTGAAAGTAATCCCGAGGGAAAATGAAAGGAAAGTACAAAATGAAATAATGATATATACAAAGGATGAGAGACCTAACCCGATCAAAGGTGAGGAATAATGCGAGGGCATCATCATCATCATCATCCTCTAGAGAGGGATACTCACGGGGAACCGGATCTCCATGGTTGGTGTACCGTGATGGGTTTAGAGGATCAACAGAGGAGTATCGAGTAGGCTCAGGGATAATAACCTCAAGGATGTGAGGATGCGACCAACTTTCGTTTGGGAGTTGAAGGTTGCATGGCTTTGACCAATCGTTTGAGCTGTCGGATCACTTTTCCCTGGCATGACATGTACCTCAGCTAATTCCCCTTGAGTAGTTTCCATTTGCTTGCGCATGTAGTTTAGTTGCTCTTGCTGTTGGGTTGCAACCTCGAAAGTCCACTTATCCATTTTGGACTTAGCTTGAGTTATTAGTGGAGGAAGGGTAAAACTAGGAGCAGCTGTGGAGGTAGTTGGATCCTCACAATCGTCTTCATTTTGTGATTCTCCATCGCTTCCATTATCACTAGTCACACCTAGCGTTGATGTGATAGGTACAAGCATGTTATTCGGGCTTTGTACAAAGTGGTGCTCGCTTGAAGGTGTGAACTGTAGGCGTCGATCAACGCTAGCTGTAGTAATGCTCCAGTTTGGTAGAAGTACCATCACTTTCTGTGTGTTGGGGAGCTCAAGGTTGTAGGCAACCTTATCATGCACTCTTCCTGCAAGTATGTCGCACTTGTAGAGGTAAAACTCGTCTATGGTGCGAACTCCATCAGTATACTTATGTTTGGAGAGATTGATGCCAACAAAATCCAAGATTGGTGTTATGATTCCTCCAATGCTTATGGTTGGCTTCTTTCTTTTCACATTCACTTTCAATTTTGTTGACGCTTCTTTAGCCCATTGCTTGTAGGATGCTAGATGGTGGCCAAGAACTGATCCCATGTGTACATCTCTCCAAGTGGTACCTTCCAACCCAGTATAGAGAAGATGCATCTCCTCTGTCCTCACGTTGTTCGTAAATTGTCTCGCAAAGAACGTGTTAGCTAATACTCTGTGTGCGTATCGAACCGCAGGATGTCGAAGTTGAGCGGCTTTGACCTTGCCTGAGTTATACCTCCCTGTGCCACCAATTGCATCCCAATACTGTTGCGGATCTTGCACCTTAGAATACTTCATTTCAAACCCCTTTTGTAGCCCAAAAATGTTTGCTAGATCATCAAATGTAACGATGTGATTCTCATTGGCGACGACGAAATGAATTGCTCCGTTTTTCCCAGTTAGACGACAATCAGGCTCTTGGAGAACTTCAACAGTGGCCAAGAAATCTTTTGTTAGCTCCGTGTACGTGAGATGTCTCTTATTAACGAAATCGGAGAGGCCCATCTTCTCAAAAAGAGTGCTCACAGTCTGTGAAAGATGGAGTCTTTCTAAAGTTGCCTCATCTGTGTACCGTGTAGGAACTACTTTGATTTGGGCGAAGTAAGGACGATAATTGAGTGAGTCCTGCTGAGTACTCTTTGCTTTACTAGTTCTTGGCGAAGCTCTTGTTGTGCGCTTAGCTACCAATTTCCCTTTCCCGCTAGTTCGATTTCCGGTTTTCCCCATTCTCACCTACATTCAAGAAGGTGCAAGTTAGAGATTTGTGGAATTTGTGCATTGTGCTTTCATCATGTTACAGGAGATCAAATGCACAATGTTGAGACAATGAAGACCAAATTCCCCAAAATTCGTCAACGCAGTCCCTAACCTCATGTTAATTCCACAAAATATTCTTTTGAAATCAAAATTCATGGCATCCAACGAATACCCAACACATATCCAGTAATTCTAGCATAATCATGCAAGATTTCAACAATATGAAGCATGGAGACAAGAAATTTTGGATTAATCACCAATAACCACCATTGAAATAGAGATTGAAGTTCATACCTTGTGGAGATGCTAAAACCAAAGCTGAAAAGTGATTAAATAGTTAGGTTTTCTTTGTCGAAGGTGAGAACTGAGAAGAGACGTTAAGTCACAATGTAAGAAAAATTAGTATTCGATTTGAGTTTTGCTATGAAGTGTCAACAAAAAAGGTGAAAAGTCTTATTGGGCTGGAAAATAAAACAAGAAGCGGCCCAAGAGGAATAACAGTCCAAGGCGTAGTTTGTTGCATTATGGGCCTTAGTATTCCAGTCTTATATGTATATTACATATAGGGATTATCACAAGATTTTGTGTGATGTCTTGTTATCTCTTGAAATTTTGGATTAATCACCAATAACCACCATTGAAATAGAGATTGAAGTTCATACCTTGTGGAGATGCTAAAACCAAAGCTGAAAAAGTGATTAAATAGTTAGGTTTTCTTTGTCGAAGGTGAGAACTGAGAAGAGACGTTAAGTCACAATGTAAGAAAAATTAGTATTCGATTTGAGTTTTGCTCTGAAGTGTCAACAAAAAAGGTGAAAAGTCTTATTGGGCTGGAAAATAAAACAAGAAGCGGCCCAAGAGGAATAACAGTCCAAGGCGTAGTTTGTTGCATTATGGGCCTTAGTATTCCAGTCTTATATGTATATTACATATAGGGATTATCACAAGATTTTGTGTGATGTCTTGTTATCTCTTGAAATTTTGGATTAATCACCAATAACCACCATTGAAATAGAGATTGAAGTTCATACCTTGTGGAGATGCTAAAACCAAAGCTGAAAAAGTGATTAAATAGTTAGGTTTTCTTTGTCGAAGGTGAGAACTGAGAAGAGACGTTAAGTCACAATGTAAGAAAAATTAGTATTCGATTTGAGTTTTGCTCTGAAGTGTCAACAAAAAAGGTGAAAAGTCTTATTGGGCTGGAAAATAAAACAAGAAGCGGCCCAAGAGGAATAACAGTCCAAGGCGTAGTTTGTTGCATTATGGGCCTTAGTATTCCAGTCTTATATGTATATTACATATAGGGATTATCACAAGATTTTGTGTGATGTCTTGAAATTTAAGATTCCCAAGTTCTGCAAATTGATAGTTTGAGAGTTAGTTGGGACACAAAGCCAACATTCTGTTTTTTCCACAAAGAATTGGCCAAGTTTCAGTGTGGTAAGTTTTCAGTTGCAGATGGTGTCAAACTACAGTTGCAGTCTTGCAGATCAGAGTTGGGTAATTCCGAGAAGGAAGTTTATTCTGTAACGAGAGTTTGTGCGGGAACAGTGGAAGCTTGTTGTTGTATCAGTGTTGTTATCAGTATAAGCGGATAATAACAAGATGTCTCGAAGTGGGTCTTCTTGGGTAGCGGATAATAACAAGATATCACTGCGTCACTGCCCATCTTCGTGAGTAGCGGTTGATCTTTTGAAAGAGAGAATCTACAGAAGTGGGTCTTCAGACGAAGCTACAAGGCTGCTATTTTCAGAGGGAATGCAGCGGGGTTTTGGTTAGCATTTTGTTTGGAGTAAGCTGGGCAGTGTGCGGATTTACTTGTCTTGAGAACGAATTCTCTTGACAAGGTAGTGGCAGCGTCAGAGATTCTTGTTCGGTACAAGTTTGTGTTCGTAATAACACGTGGTGACTTGTTACTTAAGGAACAAGGAATCTCATCTCGGGTGGAGCATTGATTTCTCAGAGGGTATTTCTTGTGTTTTTGATCAGTTATTCAAGTGACAAGAAGGAGAATCTGATGGTAAGCGATTAACTGTACTACTTACTTGAGTCGAAAGTCTTCCTAGCCAAAGGGTGTTAGGCGGCGTGTTCTGTTCTTTTGAACAGCGGTACAAGGGAAGTGTATGGTAGTTTTGCTAGAGGAAAATACAAGATTTGAAGTATGAGATTGAGGTATGGTTTGATGATGTGTCAAAAAATGTTGCTACATCATTAGATCATGAAGAAGGCTCCAAGTAGAGGTGACAAGGCTGCAGAGGTTTTAAAGGATTGTTCTTGGTGGTTCTTTTGGGTAACAGTGGAGCAATGTGACAGTGAAGAGTGGCTGAACTTAGAAAGGTGTTTTGAGCTTATAGAGACGAATTAACATCCAATGGTTATTATGGTTCTGGTGGAGCCATTTTTCCGTGGAGGTTGCGTTCAACCGAAGAGATGGAAAGCTACAGAAGCCACTGTGGGTACATGTCCTGTTTACTAAAAAGAAAGGGAAGTCAAGAATGGTGCAAATCAACACGTTCAAGATCCAAGGGTAAGAAGACTCTTACATTTTTTGGCTGAAGTTTGTTGATATTACAGAGGGATTCTCAGAAGGAAGAAACGAAATGGGGACAAGTGCTAGTGATGCGAGAATGGTGTGTATCTAGCTTGATACACAACACATTAAGCTAGTGGTTAGCTTCTGGAAATGTAGGGTCCTAGAAAGGGCGAAAATGCATAGAAATCGAAGATGCATTTGGAGGATAACAACTAAGATGTCTTGAGGTCGTTTGTCTACACCAAAGGGGAGTTTGTGTAAGTATGCTCTCAAGGAAAGAACACATTATGGACGTTCAAGAGAAGAGTCTTCAAGTATCATGTGATGATTAAGAAGAAGAGACTTCGGTTTAAGTCTGATATTGAATGGTGCATGGTTCGAGTTGTTTGGTGGAGTTTCTGCGGGTTTTGCAGGTGTGTCTACAGCTAAGAGTGACGTCAAGGGTTCTAGAGTTGATGTGTAAGGGGATTTGAGGACGTGGCTCAAGGGTATCACAAGGTTCTGTTGGTATGAGACAAGATAAAGATCGCCGGAAGTGATTAACATCTGTTGGTGATAAGTTTTGTGGTTACAGAAGGATTGGACAAGGGTTGTGTCCAAGGTATGTTTTATTAAACATGGTGTGTAGAGGGCAATTCTAAAATGGTCTAAGCTATTGGAGAGATTGACGACATAGTGAATTGAAGAGCTTCAAGTTTGAGGCTAAGTTGATTAATCGGTTTTCTGCAATTGATTTAAGGAAATTCAGAGGATCTCGATCTCAGTGCACATGAGTAAATCATAGGAGCTATAGCAAGGGAATCACGTTTTTTGCAGAGGGTTATATGGTTCTTCAATCACTGAAGACGTTCTTGGGGTTTTTACAGAAGCCATGGTGGAGAATGTGTGATTGGATGGTTCATAAGTGGTGGAACTTATGGGTTGCTAGTCATCTCAGGATCGTTTGACCGTGTGAAGTATCACAGCGGAAGCGTGTTGAATGTAAGTTCAATACAAGAGGATCAATGATAAGTTGGCTTGGTCATATGGATTTTATGGGCTGGTTATGCAACTCAAGGAGAAGACAAGTATATTACACGTTTGGAGCAAATCAAACGTTCTGTTGGGTTATTGATGGTGTTGTGGATTATTATTATTATTCCACTAAGGTGTTGTGTGTGTATGTTCATACATATGCAGGTTCAAAGGAGGATCAAGGTGGCAAGTCTAGAGCCATATGTCAAAGGCTCTAAAGGGGCAATTCACAAGGAGATTTCAAGATTAGCTCATGGTGGAGATTGTTGGAATATGATCTAACTTGAGAAGAGTTTATTATGTTTTTGCATTCTAAGTCAAAGAGAGTGTTTCAACAATAGGAGGAGAATGTTCCTTGGCTCCAAGAAGCATTGATGCTAACATAGAGGAGAATGTTCCTTGGCTCTTCCAAGACAAGTCTCCAGCGGATGTGAGAGACTAAGAGGAGGCCTTAACTCCAGCGGATCCGTAGCACACAAGTGAGAGGCGTTTTGCCTCCTAAGGGGAGCTGTTGCTCCCAGCCATTGTGAGAGAGTGTGTGAGACAAAATGGGGCAAGTAGAGATGTAGAAAACATGTAAGAAGCATATAAGCTTCGGGTAGGTTTTCTTGGTGAGAGAAGAGTGATTTCTTGAGTGTGAATCTCTTCTCATATGTATCATCTCTTGATAATGAAGTTAGGGTTCGAAAGATCCCAACCGGATGTAGTGGCCCATGACCGGGTCAACAAATGAATAGTGTTCTCCTTCTTTCCCTTTATCCTCTCCGAATGGAAGCTTGCTTGGTTCAGTATATAGATGGTGATGACTTGCAGGGAGAAAGCTTGAGGCTGGAGAGATTGCATAAATCTCAACAGGTTTGGTTTACTTCTTTAGCTAATTACCATGGAGCAGACAAAATTCTTTGAGCTTCAGTCACTTCTTCAGTCTCTTGTTCAATCACTCCTACACTTGCTTTCATTTCAACAATCTTTTTATCAAAGTATTCGTTCGTCTTTTTCGCAACCTCATCTCGTCTCTGTAGCTCAAGAAACCTACGTTACAACTCAGCTCTTTCTTTTTCTATTCCAGCTCTTTCTTTGTCTAACTTGAGACTTCCGCTCTCTGCCTCTTCAATCTTATCCTCGAAACATTTCTGTTCTTCAGCTTTCTTTGCTCGCACGTCTGTTTAAAGACAACAATTTGTCAATCCGTGATTGAGGAGCTGCAGTGTCGAAAGACATACTTTTCTAGTTTAGCAAAGGAGACACTGATCAGCTCGTTGAGTTTGGTAGTAGAGTCATCGAGCTTCACGTCTCTGACTTGGTCTAGCAACGCGTAATAGCTCGCCATCATGCCAATAGCCGACCGCTCTCGGGTATCGTCGGTAGGTTGAAGTGAGGTCGTTGTGGCACGGATTTGTAACCTTCCATCGACTCACATGCCTTCCAATACAGCGACTTCTTCTCAAAAGGCAAATGGATTAGCTTATCTTTTGCAGCAGCTGAACTATTTACCACTTTCGGGCTGTGATCAGTGGATAGCTCGGGATAGATCAAAGCTGAAAGAACACAAGGAGAACAGTTGTAGCATATACTAACCGGAAAATTAAAATCTAAGCTGTACTCTGATAAGAATTTGCTTTGAAAATATAGAAAAGGTTTCCAAACCAGTAGTTAAGTTTCCTAGAGAGAGTCTGGTGCATTGTGATGAACATGATTAGATTATCTTCTGTGTTTCAAAAATTCCAACGAAAAGAGAACAAACGGCAAAGTTTGATTAGAGTTGCAACGTGTAGGAAAATGATAAAAGACAAATTTAAAACACAACAACATAACGTTACATAGAAATCGTCAACAGAAACACACAAACAAAATGTTAAGTGTTTGATACGATAGAACACAAATACAAGATCATAGATATAGTTAAGTGGATTAGAAAGCATAGGATAGCTAAACGACATTTCCCATCAGAAGTGACAGTGATCTTGTTCTTCTCACGAGTGATTGTAACAGAGTCACAGAGTGCACCGGGTTTACCACCAACTTTGATCCTCTCATGAAGGAACTTGTGGAGAGAAATTTTCAACTTCGAGGAACATATGTCCTGAAATCTCATCGGTAGTTCTCCTTACTACCGATGTGTAGTCGCAACTGTTGGCCCTGAAGCTTATGTGGAAGATAGCATTCATAGACTCGAGCTTGAGAGACGGGTCAGTATGAGTTTCTCGGGTTTCCACAAGTATCTTCTTTATATTCATCTCCTTGGGCAGGAAAGAATGAGATCCAGCCTCGCAAACTTGGAAAAGTGCAAACTCGGTATAGAGACGAAGCCAATCATTATTATCAATGTCCTTGGCCTGAACCTCGTAGAATCTAACACCATCATCATCATCAGCTTCTTCTGGTAGTTCCGACAAAA